ACTTCTGTCCACCTGTCCTAACCTCCCCATTCCCTATTCCCTGTCCCTAACCCTAGATCTCCCGCTTCCCGACTCTCCAACCTCTCAACCTCAATTCCCACCCAATTTAAGTTCCTCATTCCCCATTCCTCCGTTCCCCAAGTCTCGGTTTCCTAAGCCTCCGTTCCTCATCCCTCTGTTCACCAATCCCGTTCCCGACACCCTTAACACCATCCTTCGTTCCAAACATCCAGCCCCCTTTCCTCACCCTTTCTTTCCATTTCCCAACCTCCCACCCCAACCCTCGTCCCTTACTTCCACCCCCAACCTCCCACTCCAACCCTCGTCCCCTACTTCCACCCCCCAACCTCCCACCCCATCCCTCGTCCCTTACTTCCACCCCCAACCTCCCATACCCAATCATAGTCTCACCTCTCCAGCCCCAGTTTCCCTACTTCCACCCCCAACCTCCCATACCCAATCACAGTCTCACCTCTCCAGCCCCAGTTTCCCTACTTCCACCCCCCAACCTCCCACTCCAACCCTCGTCCCCTACTTCCCCCCCAACCTCCCACCCTAACCCTCGTCCACTACTTCCACTCCCCAACCTCCCACCCCAACCCCTGTCCCCTACTTCCACCCCCAACCTCCCATACCCAATCATACTCTCACCTCTCCAGCCCCTGTCTCCGCCATCTTCCTCATAGCTTCAGCGAGCGGCCCCGAGATCGTGTTGAGTCGAAGTGACAGCTGTTTCATCTGCTCCCACGACGAAGCGTACTGGCGGCGGACAAGCTCGATCACGGTGGAGGTGAACACAGGACCCACGAGGATGTACAGCGTGCAGCCCATCAGGGACCAGGTCTTCCCGACGTCTGCGGGAGGAAGCGAAACGTGGGGTGAAACGTCTGCGGGAGGGAGTGGAACGTCTACGGGAGGGGGTGAAACGTCCGTGGGAGGGAGTGAAACGTGGGGTGAAACGTCTGTGGGAGGGTGTGAGACGTGGGGTGAAACGTCTGCGGGAGGGAGTGAAACGTAAGGTGAAACGCGGAGTGAAACGTGGGCGGAAACGTCTGCAGGAGGGAATAGAGGGTGAAACGGGTGGGATTCTCGACTAGTTCAGTTTGTGGAATGAAATACTGACACTGAGGGACGATTAGTATAACTGGGGACACCTCCAAAACGGTATTTTTTTGCTAGAATGGGAGAGAAGTTTTACTAGAAACTCTCTCTCTCTCTCTCTCTCTCTCTCTCTCTCTCTCTCTCTCTCTCTCTCTCTCTCTCTCTCTCTCTCTCTCTCTCTCTCTCTCTCCCTCGCTCTCTCTCTTCACTCTCCTCTCTTCTCTCATCCCTCTTCCCCTCTTCCCTCTTCCCCTCTTCCCTCTCCCCTCTCCCCTCTCCCCTCTCTCCTCTCCCCTCCCTCTCTCCCTCTCCCTCTCCTCCTCACTCCCCTTCCCCCTCTCCCTCCCTCTCTTCCACCTTCCCTCTACCTCTCCCTCCCTCTCCTCCTCACTCCCCTTCCCCCTCTCCCTCTCCCTCTCCCTCTCCCTCTCCCTCTCCCTCTCCCTCTCCCTCTCCCCTCTCTCCTCTCCCCTCCCTCTCTCCCTCTCCCTCTCCTCCTCACTCCCCTTCCCCCTCTCCCTCTCCCTCTCCCTCTCCCTCTTCCCTCTCTTCCACCCTCCCTCTCCCTCTCCTTCCCAAACAACAGCCTCGCCCCAGACGCACTCACCAGGCACGAGATCCCCAAAACCGATGGTCGTTGTGGTGATGAAGCAGAAGTAAAAAGCATCCATGAAGGACCATCTCTGCAGCGGGGCGAAGATGCAGCCTCCCATAGCTATGATGCCCACCAGTAGACCCAACACGCCCAGGACGGTTACGACGGGACGGAGCTTCCCTCTGGGAGAGAGTGGTGGGAGAGAGTGAATATATTTATAAGAAAAAAATCATGTGTGTGTGTGTGTGTGTGTTCGTTGCTCTTAAATCTGTACAGAAGTACATCGAAGACTCAAAAAATAGTTAAATAAAATAAGGGACGAAGAGTAAAACAAAAACAAAATGTAACAAGGAAAATACTAAAATAAAAATAAAAAATGAAAAGAAAACACGAAGGAAAACGAAAAGGTACACCCAGGAAAATTAAAAAGAAAAAAAGAAGACCCATGAAGAAAGGAATGAAGAGAAGAGAATAAAATGAAATAAAATAAAATAGATAAAGGTGCACGAAAAAGAAGAAAAGCGAACACAAAACAAAACAAACAAGAAAACAAAAGGGAAACAACGACAGATACAGGTAAAATGAAAAGCAGACACACACACACACACACACACACACACACACACACACACACACACACACACACACACACACACACACACACACACACACACACACACACACACACACAACACAACACAACGCAACACAACACAAACAAAAGAAACACAAACATTAAAAAAAAAAAAAAAACAGAAAACGCCCCTCACTTACTTCGGCAGCATCTTCGACAGAGTCTCCACAGGCACGAGCGACGCCAACACCTCACCCATGTCGCTGATGATAGTGAGGGTGAGAGGAATCCCGACGAGGGCGAAGACGATGCAGAAGATCTTGCCTCGGACGGTCATGGGGGCGATGTTGCCGTAGCCTTGAAGGGTAGGGGAAGGGGGGGGGGTGGGAAGGGGGAGGAGGGGGGATGAGGAAATTGGGGTAGGAAGGGTGAGGGGGAGGTGGGTGAGGGGAGAGAGGGAAGGAGGGAGGGGGAAGGGGAGGGATGGAGGGAGGGGGAGCGGGAGGGGGGAGGGAGGGAGAAAGAGAGAGAGAGAGAGAGAGAGAGAGAGAGAGAGAGAGAGAGAGAGAGAGAGAGAGAGAGAGAGAGAGAGAGAGAGAGAGAGAGAGAGAGGAGAGAGAGAGAGAGAGAGAGGGAGAGAGAGAGAGGGAGAGAGAGAGAGAGAGAGAGAGAGAGAGAGAGAGAGAGAGAGAGAGAGAGAGAGAGAGAGAGAGAGAGAGAGAGAGAGAGAGAGAGAGAGAGAGAGAGAGAGAGAGAGAGAGAGAGAGAGAGAGAGAGAGAGAGAGAGAGAGAGAGAGAGAGAGAGAGAGAGAGAGAGAGAGAGAGAGAGAGAGAGAGAGAGAGAGAGAGAGAGAGAGAGAGAGAGAGAGAGAGAGAGAGAGAGAGAGAGAGAGAGAGAGAGAGAGAGAGAGAGAGAGAGAGAGAGAGAGAGAGAGAGAGAGAGAGAGAGAGAGAGAGAGAGAGAGAGAGAGAGAGAGAGAGAGAGAGAGAGAGAGAGAGAGAGAGAGAGAGAGAGAGAGAGAGAGAGAGAGAGAGAGAGAGAGAGAGAGAGAGAGAGAGAGAGAGAGAGAGAGAGAGAGAGAGAGAGAGAGAGAGAGAGAGAGAGAGAGAGAGAGAGAGAATGAAATTAAGAAAGAAAGGAAGGGGATGAAGTAGAGAAAACGAGAGAGAAAGAGAGAATGTAACATTAAAGCTCACAAAAAACGATACCGGACAAAATCACAACTTAAATCAATTTCACAAAAATGTTTATGTATGTGTTCTACAAATACAAAAAAAATGCAGTTATGCGATTAAAGTTAACAAAGTGATTAGGTAATACTTATAAAATGCTGTACAAAATGAATACTCAATTAATTTAACACATTAATAAAGAATAAGACAATAAATTCGCAGATTTTAACTTTTGATCTTCTCTAAAATACTTGTACATTCTTTCAGTCTTCTGTGTTACACGCAATGCAATACCTATACTTAAACTCCACAGACTACAGACCTATAGTAGTCAGAACCGTAGCCGTGAAGAACACACTCTGCGGGAAAGTCCAGCCAGGTTCTGTCCCGGCCTGGAGAGGCGTCACTCGGGCGTCGCCGCTGTCTACCACAACCTGTTCGTAGTGTCTCAGCATCATGGAGACTTTTTCTTCTTTCTCTGCCCTTTCGCTCTCTTCTTCGTATTCCCACTCTCCCTCGGTGTGGTTTTCTCCCATCCCTCCCTCTGGTTGTTCAAGATAATGGAATATGTGTATATAAGTGAAGCTATAATCAGGGCCGGATTATGACCTTTTGAGGCCCCTAGGCTAATGAAAATATGGGGCCCCCTCAGAATATTTTTTACTCGTGATATATTTTAGCGATATTTACATAGCTTGAAGTAAACTTATTGCAATTTTTTAAGAATAAACTAGCATAGCTATCTTTTGTTTGTCAACAAAAATATTCTATAAATACCACTATTTTATTATATTTCAACACAACCGTAGTGAAAAAAAAAAACAGATTTTTTTATAACCAAGCCCCTCAAGCTTGGGGCCCCCAAGTTTGAGGGGCCCTAGGCTGCAGCCTATACTAGCCTATAGGATAATCCGGCCCTGGCTATAATGTGTACGTTGTTTCATTGTGTATTTACCTTGCAAAGAACGTAATTATTAACTCTCTGCAAGAAGTAGTGCTCTAGGTGTTTCCTTGTACTGGCTATGATGATTATAAATATTCATATCATCACAATTTACATTCTCCTATATGTAAATCTTGCATTCATCATGATATTGCAACACGTGACATTCAAACAAAGACAATAATCCAAAGAAATTTCCAACTCGGTAAAGATACATAGCATCACACTAAGCTAATTTACATTCATATAAGTTCTTGGAAACATTTCGTTTCGTTAAATTCCAAATAAAGAAAAAATACTACAAAGATAAGTAATCAAACTAATTTACCTACATGAAAGGGGATACATAGCGTCAAATAAATTAACCTTGGTCATTATAAAAAGACGAAAAAGAACGGGATAACCCAGCGCTCTCTGTTAGATTAAGGATCTCTTGTATAAAATGGCGGCGATTTTGCATGAGTTGGACCCTCACGGTTTCTTGCTGAATCACTTCCTCATCGTACTCTAATGCTTGAAATATCTGAGGAAAAGAGATAAAGTCTTAAAAAGTCTTATAGCAACAGAAACAACAACAGTACCCTTTACTACTACTATTGTTGCTACTACCTATGATAATAAAAGTAATAATGATAATAACAATGATAATGATAATAATGATAATAACAATGACAATGATAATAATAATAATGATGATAATGATAAATATGATGATAATGGTAATAATAATAATGATGATAATGATAAACATGATGATAATATTAATGATGGTTATAATAATGATAACAATAACAATGGTATAATGTTGAAGATGATGATGATAAGGAGGAGGATAATAATGACAATAATAATGAAAATAATTATAATAGCAGCACAACAATAACAACAACAACAACAACAACAACAACAACAACAAGAATAATAATAATAATAATAATAATAATAATAATAATAATAATGATGATGTTGGAAGACAGAGACGAAATCGAAATAGAGCAAACTAAATCCAATGTGAGAGATAGTGAGACTGAAATTGAGTTTGCAGAGGTCAGGCAAGAAGACAATGAATTGGTAAGCAGGAAACACTCCAAATAATGCCCCATCGTTGAGAGTAATTGATAGTGCTTGAGTTAAAAACCGAGACAAAGAAAATTAAAGAGATTCTGGTCATTATAAGATTAAGCAACACTGATGACATACATGATGTGACCAAAGCTGTAGCTATACATATCAGTGAAAAAGTTGGTTTAAAGAGAAAGAGAGAACAAAAGCAAAGGGAAACTCAGGAAAGACCTCAGCCGTATAGAAGCATGGTTCAAATGAAACTGAATAAATAGTAAACAACAGGAAAAGCTTGATCTGAAAAGAGAAATATAGTCTTAAAGCCAAAGGATTGAAGACTGTCATGGAAGAACTGAAGCAGAGAATCTCTGCCAAGAAGGAAAAAAATAAAAAGATTTGTCTCAAGAACCACTCAGTATCGACAGAATAGATTACTTAGAAATATCCAAATGGTGTTGTACGAAGAACTTGGTGGGAAGAAGAAAAGAGAACACGTAACGCCTGATACAGAGACATCTAGAGAGTTTTGGAGCAACTTATGGGACAATCTAATTCAGCATAATGAAACTGCAGAATGACTAAAGCACGTTGAACATAAAATGAAACGGGTGCAAAAATTCAGTGACATAAGTATCCCTAAGGAAGATGTAAGTAGCAACATAAGGAAAACGCCCAAGTAGAAGTTTACCGGTTTGGATGGAATTCAAGGTTTTTGGTTGCATGAAATGATAGCCTGGGAAGGTAATCAATGCTTGGTGATTGGAAAGGCACCATCTTGGATGATTGAAAGCAGGGCTGTATTGATTGAAAAAGATCCAAATAAATGTTTTAATTTACTGCAGAAGATCCTTACCGCAATAATCTTTCATAAATTGTATGTACATCTAATGATCAGGATCTGCTACCAAATGAATAAAAGGGTTGCAGTAAGCGATCCCATGAAAAAAAAAACACCAGTTACTTATTGACAAGGCAGTAATTCGCAACTGTAAAAGACTAAATCGGTAACATACAGCATAGATAAAACAAATACCACACCCTTATGCCGCCTTTGCAAAGAGAAAACAGAGCGTTAACCATATTGTAAGTGCGTACTCTAATCTTGCAAAGAATCAGCATCGAAAACGACATGACAAGTTAGGTAAGAAAATACATTGGTTGCTGTTCAAAAAGTTTTTGATAGACTGCAATGAGAAATGGTTCTTACATGAACCAGAGCCAGTGCAAGAGAACGAAAGATGTAAGATCCTGTGGGGACTTCACAGTACAAACTGATATGGCGCTAAAACACATGAGGCCTGATACTGTCATTCAAGATAAGGTGAAAAGAGAATGCCTTATCACTGACTTTGTGGTACCAGGAGATCAAAACATTACCACCAAAGAGCAAGAAAAGATCACGAAATACCAAGACCTGCGTAAAGAGATTAAAAAACTAAAAAAAACTATGGGATGTTGAAGCAGTTGTAGTACCAATAGTGATAGGTGCACTGCGAACAGTTTCCAAAAAAGCTGGAGTAACATCTAAAACGAGTAGACATTCCTCCTGTAGTCCAGTCCAGAAGGCAGTGCTACTAGGTACAGCCTTCATCTTGAGGAGAGTGCTTGGCATCTCAGGGTAAAACACAGATGTCGAAATTCCCATGATAGGATGATGCACATAAAATGATAATAATAATAACAATGATTAAAATATATGATAATAATAATGATCATGATAGTAATAATAATGATGATGATAATAACAATAATAATAATGGTGATAACAATGGTATAAGTAATAATAATAGATATAAGAATAACAATTATAGTAATGATAATAATAATGAATACAATAATGATGATCGTAATAATAATAATAAAAATACTAATGATGATAGTAGTTATAATGATAATAATAATATTAATAATAATAATAATAATAATATTAATAATAATAATATTAATAATAATAATATAAAGATGATGATGATGAGGAGGAGGAGGATAATACCGGTAATAGTGGTAATAATAGAAATGATAATGATATTGATAGTAATAGTAATAGTAGTA